GACGACAGCTCACAGGCAGTCGAGACGAAGCGCAACAGAAGCACAGCACGGCGCTGTTTATCCTGCCAACAATCTGCCTTGGGACGGGCCGGGGAGGACGACGGGGGAAGCAAGGGGAGGCTGCTTTTGCTCTCGCCCAAGAGATGTGATGAAATGTGATGGACTGAGGGGTAACTAAAGCTTACAATGCACGGAGTGACTCGCAGGACAGCCGGAGAGGCGCAGGAGGAGGGCAGAGAGACGCCGCGAGGACTCGAGCTCGTTCGGTCAAGGGCAGCGAAGGGCGAGGACGGCGACAGGAATCGAGAGAGACGGCCGTCTGTTGCTATATCAACAATCGCTGACCCGGTCGACTAATAAACTGGCCCCTCGCCGTGAAACCGGCGGCTAAAAGGCGCTTTCTCAAACGCCAGCAACATCCCGGTCGAACAGAAAAGGGGGCCGGCGGTTACATGTCGACAAACTCCCCAGCCAGCCGGAGGCGCAGCATGCGATGCAGTGACAAAGACGGCCGTCAGGCTGCTTGCTGGCCGTCTTTCTATTCGACGCACGCAGTTTATTTATAGGACGGTCACCACTCGGGTGCTGCTGGGAGTTACAGGCTAAGGAGTTATTCTCCCAGTGATATCCAGGCTGCGCCGTCCCCAGAGCCCATGTTTCAGCATGCTATTCGCCCGCTATTCATACAGATCGCTCGTCGAGATAGCGCCCGGGTGACGTCTGCCCCTGCTATTGAGTGCTGCTATCGGAATAGTGTCTGCGTCGAAGTCGGATCAGCCTGCCACCTGGCCTAAAAGATCCCAGCTTGCGTTACCCGTGATAATAAATAATACGTGAAGATGATAATTACGATATCCTTCGAGGCTGTTGGTCTGGAATATTAGCTATCGTATGTCGGATTCAAGTGGTTATATCCAGGGCCATCAGATGATACCTTATGTGCCAGTGTTTAGACTTGGGTTCGAACAGATATAAACATGTGAGCCACACGAAGGGTACATGAAGAACAATGGTCTATGGTCAAGAACTCCAGGGGAAACAGACTACCTGGCTGGAAATACTCTATACCATGGTAGAAGCCTCCCAGGCCATCATATATATTCAACTGATCATACAAACTAGCCTGCTACATGTAGAACCCTCAGCAGTTATACATCTATTATTACCTTTGAGATGATATACAATAATATAAACAGCTATCAAAAGGTTCAGAGGCTGGATGTACCAAAGAAGATCTTATATTTAGTTTTGTTTGGACACTAAGCCTCGCATATTATTATCTGGCGTTAACGATGAAAAATAGCGAAGACACAAAAAAGGAGAGTCAAAACCAACCCGTCTAGTACTGAGATGCATTTACTGAATGACCTATAACAGGTGTTAGCTGCATGGCCAGATACTCAAAGAAGAGGGAGGGAGGCTTACCTTCTCTCGCAACAGGCCCATCCACTGCTGCAGACTAACGCTCTGGTCTGCGCGGTCCTCTACCATCATAGACTGTGCCCATAGCCTTAGTCCGGGCTCGCCGTCTTCTTTCACTACGTAGAGATGGGGTGAGATGATGCTTCCTACGCCTCGCGACAGCTTGTCTCGGCTCTTGCTGATGACTGCCCTGACACGCTCATTGAAGTCATTCTCTGTCTCTGGCAGGACCTGCTTGCCTACTCGGAGAAGAGACTTGTCGCTGAGCCCGAATACATCGTTGATGAGCTGTGGTACAGCATCGCGACCGATCCAGAGGAACTGGGTCTGGCCGTCGTCAATCAGATACATGCCATGCGGTACAAGACGCTCGGATGAAAGGTTAGTCAAAGGTGGGAGCACGATTTTTCCTGTTTCCGGGTGAGGGATGCCGGCGTCATCGGGCATGTCGTGAAGAGAGTACATCTTGGGATAAATGTATTGGATGAGGAGAGGAAGAGGCAGAGTAGAGAGGAGACAGAGAGCAGCGGATCGCATGTCGGTAGGTATTTGAGCGGATTTTCGGAGACCAAGCTAGAGGCCGTTTGTTAGCATGACTGTATACCGCCAGCATATAAAGGGGGTAGCGAATCTACTCACGTTCTTCATCATTGCCAAAAATAAGATGGGTAGTCCACGTAAGTTAGCAGGGAATTGCAGACCACCACCGCCTACACTGCCACCAGCCAGCTCCTTTCTATATGTAGAGAGTAGCTCTATGATCTTAGCCTGTAGGGCATCCCTGGCTGCGTCGAGGCCACCCCCGAGAGTACGCTCAACAGCCTTATGACTGAAGTAAGTAGCAATAGCACACTGATCAGCAGAAGCGTATACATCGGCCAGATTCTGAGTAGTTGGCAGAGCCAAGGTTAGAACCCTGATTCTCCGTTCCCCATTGCAAGTGGTGTGCAAAACAGCAGTCTGCAGACACACGACGGGTTTGGTGACGGTTTCATCAATGGCGACCTCTACAACATAGGCCTGGTCACGGGGGAAAGCAGGGAAAGCACAGAGATCAGAACTCCTGTTAAAGAAGTTGCCGTAAAACGTGTTCATCCGTAGGCCAGTGGTTGCGCGAACACGAAGGACAGCCTCGAGGCCAATTTCGGATGACAAGTAGTCAGAGAACTCCTTGGCAAATTTGATGGCATCTTCGCTCCTGGCGGCATTCCAGCCAGGGTAAAAGTATGTCTGACCGCCGGTGTATCTGGGCAGGTTACTGAGAGAGGCCACGTCTTGGTATTGAGAAGAGAACAAGAACATATCAACGGATATCTGCTGTTTGGAGCATTCGACAGCAAAGCTCTTGTAAAAGCTGTTGCCGGTTTGCAGCAAGCTGCTCTCCTTACTTGTGCCGAGGACCTTCTTATCTTCTCTCATCTCTAGGCTGCCGAATCCCATGTTCGGTAATGAGGCAGTCAAAACGGTAAGCTTACCACCGACAGGTCCGATGAGCTGGTGGCCCGCTCTAAGCGCAGATCCCATGGCAGACCCAGGATTTTGGGTATTCTGGAACATCTCTTGTAGTTTATCAAGGAAGCTCTCGATGTTTTCGCGGGATTCAGCCAAAGTTATCAAAAGATCGCCGGGAATGGGCATGAAAGGTTCATCCAAGTCACTAACAACTAACATATTAGGCTCAGAGCTCTCCGATCCATCGCGGGGGATGGTGAAGTAATAAAGACTAGAATCAACTGCAATAAAGCCGATTCTGGTTCGGCGATCAGCATTTGGTATCCGGTCGAGGCTTTCCCGAATGCAGCGCGCGGCGGTAGCCAGCAGTCCACTGGTAACTGATGCATAACTAACATCAATGAGGAAGAGATAGACAAGTGGCTGTGGTGGTCGGACCATGTACTCCTGTGGAGCAACAAACTCTACAACAGAGTGGTTGAGGTCTGGTCTCTGCCATCGGTCCAGCGCCTTTTGTGCTGCAGCATCCCAATCAAACGCCTGTGGTACGTCATTCGTTAAGCTGCACATGTTACATCTCCAACGGTGGCCATGGTCGAGGAAGGTAACGAAAGGGTTGATATATGAGCGACAACGCCGACATCGAGAGATGACCTGATCCGACACAACTGGAATCTCGTCCTCGGAGTCGTGAAGAGAGGCATATGGCTGGATAACAAGGGCGAAAGGCAGACGTGACTTCTTCAGGAGAGAGTTGGTAGTTGGCACAGCATTGAGAGTAGACCGAACGTATTGTGCGGGACAGTTTGCGTACACCGAAGGTGTCACGCTTGTCTAAAAAGTACGTCAAGTTAAACTCGAGTGCTCTCATTGTAGCACAAAGCATGAAATATTCAACTTACGTTTGGGGGTAGAACAATTGGAGGTGGAGGGTAGTCGAGTTCGGCAACATTGAATGGATGTGTGAGTAGGTCCGTTGGATAGAGCTGATTGAGCTGCACCGGCCGCTGCATTCCAGGCTGCGGCTGTTGCTGGTCTCCCATACTCATTTGCCCCATCTGCTGCGTTATCTGTGCCATACCAGGGCCCGGCTGAGGCGGATATGAGGGAGCAGGCGGCTGGTATCCCGCATCTGCGCCAGGATAGGGTGCAGCCGGCACCGGAGCTTGCTGCTGGCCAGGATACACAGCTCCCTGGGGATAACCCTGTGGCTGCTGAGCGCCTGGATATCCATACCCTTCAGCTCCCACTCCCGGCTGGTTCAGGGCAGCATTGGCACCAACACCGAAGTCGAATGCTTGGTTGGCGTATGCACGTTTCTTTCGGCCATGGGAGTGTGCTGGAGCAGGCGCGCTATCATGCGGAGGCGCATTGGGTGCTCCAGGAGCGCCTAAAACAGTGTGAGCTGGAGGTCTTTGTGGATGTTGCGTGTCTGGTTGTTGCTGACCGTAGCCTTCTTGACCCGGAGGCGGGTAGTTTCCCTGCGGAGCTGCCATTTAAACTGCTAGACGGGCTCCCTTAACCTCTGGCGGTGCAGACAGGTTTGTGACAAGTGCTGGAAGACCTGGAGTGGCGGGATGGAGGAGGTCTGAAGCCAGGCAGTTCGTTAGCAAGGGCCCATCGGCGGTCAATCGTCATTGCAGGAGGGGCTTGTCTAGTAGCCTACTGTTGCTGCGTATTGTTTTTCCTTCACAGAGCGAACATCAGGGACGGTATATCCTCGAGATAGCAAGACGCTGTTCACCAAGGTCAAGCTGCCGTTAGTCCCTTGGACAAGCTGTGCTGCGAGTGCGAAGTTCGTGGCGAGTCGTGATGCTGCTTTGGCCCGTCGAGCATCGAAGTTTGGATGTTTTTCTTTGGGGTCACGGTGGCCTTCTGCTGCCAGCCAATCACAGCGCAGGGCTCGCCGTCCTCCGGCCACAGCGCCAAAGTTGATAGAAGATACGACGGCGGGCCAGAAGTCGATGAGACAGTGATGATGACGATGGTGAACAAGAAATAGTGAATAAGTAACAGGCTATGCCATTTAAACAGAAATATAAAATATACCAGATGCCACAGAACGCCGCCGCTAAATGCAAGCTATTTCAAAATTGAACATGACCAGGAACAAGAACGCCCCCCCTTTTTCAAGCAATGACGATGCCATTTCTCATGTTTTCCACTGTCTTCACGCCTACTCCCTTCATCTTCTCAAGATCCGCAAGGCTGTGAAGCTGGATGTGACCTTCAGCTCCGCCGTCCATGTCACATAGACGGTCGACAATGCATTCGGCCTTCTTAACCCCTACTCCACGCAGCAATTTGATCTGCTCAATATCCCGGGTATTGATCACCGACAAGATATGTGAAGAGCGAGGGGACAGTCCTCCCTCTTCTTTCCCTTCTGCATTGCTTGGTAATGTCTCCGGAGACAATGGAGAGGCCTTGGTGCGTATCTGTCTAGGCCTCCGGTGAGGAGCATCAGTAGTAGACGCTTCATCATAATCACCCTCACAAGGCTCTTCCCCATTCTCTCCAGGGTTCTCAGACTGCTCTTGGAACTCCACTGTAATCTTTTTTCCTGCTGCTTTTTCACACCGGAGTGCCTCAATCTTAAGAGCTAGTTTGGCATTTTTCGGGAAGAATGGCTGGGCAAGTTCATACATTCTCAGAGCAGATGAATATTCACCTCGCGCCTGATGCTGTTTGGCCATAAGGAGATATGAAAGCCCGTCAGCCCTGGAGTCCTCGGTCTCGTCGATCCGCTGCTCCAGGAGCTCAAGTCGGCGCTGCACTTGCTTGTTCAACTCCTTGGACTCGGTCTCAAAGTCATCCGACTGGCGAGCTGAGAGCACTTCTCTTACTTTCTTCTCAACCAGCTCTTCAAACTTCGCAGCTGACATGCTGCTCATACCATGCTGTAGCCTCTCCTCTGTTCGAGCCATCTTGGACGGTCTGGGGCCTGGCTGATGGCCATTTCCAGATCTTCTCTTCAAAGGCGACTTTCGTTGAGCAGCCTCAGAGGCCCCTGGCTTGGTAGAACTCTTCGAATGTGATATGTCGGTGTACACCGCAAAGGCCTTCGCTGGCTTTCCGTCTGATGGCTTTCGGGCTTCAGCTGTCACAGCGGCAATGTTTGCATTTATTGATGCAGCAAGGGGCCGCAAGGGCTGTCTCTTCACCCCAGTACCGGTGACACGGCCTGCTGCAGGCCGAGGTGGTCCCTTGAACATGGGTTCATTCTCAATCTCCCTCGACTCGATCTTCTTTGTCCTGTTGGCAAAGTTGAGTGAGCTCAGAGTGTCAAGGTGGAACGACCGAACAGGGGCAAGGTTCAAGATCATAATGGTAAGGCCATTATTCTGGCCTAATCCCAGAATTCTAGTCATCTTAGACTCCCTGTACGGCACTCTGGCCTGCTTTTTGTTGATGGCTTCAACGCACTGTGCCAGCACAAACAGACTTCTGTTGATACTTGCAGATTCTACCATCCTCTCCTTGCCATTTTCCGTACGGCGATTATCTTCAGAACCTGCAAGGTCAATGCATGATGCAGTGCTGATTCGTGCCTGATGCTCTGTGGTCACCGTCAACTTCACAGAAAGCACTGCATGAGATCTAGATGAATGCGCATTGAGCTGCCAAACACGTTAATATTAGTCCTCTTATCATAATTTACCAACCCATTGGCTAGAGCGTTATATCTTACCTTCGTGGCAGAAGTCGACCTGTTCATGTTTGCTTGGTCGTATATAACTTCAAACTCCTTTAAGCTGGTACAAGGCCGCTCCGTCAACCCAACAACAACAGTCTTGACGCCGTTATCTCTCAACGGCAGTCCAGCCGGCGTCCTCTTTTCCACCGGTTCAAAAAGATCGAATATCTTGTCATTATATATCTCATAATAGCTCATAGCGACTTCGACCTTGGTTCGTCCTTCCGTATCTCGCTCAAGCTTGCGGCATCGTCTATAGATCCCGCTCAGCAGTCGAGGAATCACGCCGCGGTCCGCCAGGCTCTTCCCGCCTCGCATTGTATGCGTCTTCCCGGTTCCCGTAACACCGTATGCGAAGAGAGTAACATCAAACCCATTGAAGAGGTGTTTAAGAGTAGGCGCCACTGTAGATAACAAGTTCACAAGGATAAGCAGTCAATTACAACCCTCCCTTTCTTAATGATGTATTATATACAGTTGAGAACTGCAGCAAAACGGAAATTCCCGCCGGATATGAGGAGCAGAAAAGAAAATATATCAACTGACCTTCTGCATCAAATATATCCTGCTGGGTTGCAGTGCCATCATATACCGAATGGAACTTGAAGCTGAAGTCCTCCCCTTCGTTCCTGGGATTCGGTATCCTGACTACCGTAGCTTTCGCCAACGATATATCAGCGTCCTCTCCCTTCCCATTCTTTACTTTTTTGGCCTTCAATGGCTTGTCGTTCTCCTTGGTCTTAGACAGGGCCTCACTTCCGCTCTGTAGGGCGGCGGACGAACTTGACGAACATGGCTGGACAATAACATCACACTCTCGTTCTGTTTTTAGAAGAGGCCGAATGCGAGCAATGACCTGGACACTCATGGCTAGGTACCGTATATAATCGTGGTTCGTCTATTTCGTTAGGTTCTGTTGAATGTGCACGACTGCTCACAGTGTAAACAACTCGCCAGTTAAATGCAGGACAGGAGATAGCTTCGCAGAAACGCAAGTCATGGAAGTATATAAGATAGACAGTTGCCCTGGAGCCAAAGACATCCAGCTGAGCTTCGGTTATGAAACTGTAGGCACTTCCAGGTTTCGAGTCTAAAGGAAATCGGTCAACCAAACGGCAACGAACAACGAACAATGCAAGACGAAAAAAAAAAAAGACACGGACGAAAAGAAAAGAGAAAGGAAAAACGAGAAGGAAATATCTTCGCTGGGCGTGCTAGCGCTCTTCTCCAGTGGTTTTCGAGTCTCTGAGAGGAAAAGAAAGGCAAGTTCCGATTCTGCTGTCAGTTGATGTTGTAGTTAGTTTGCTTATTTGTGGGTGCAGAAGTCGCTGTTGTCCGGGCAACGGCGTTGGAGCCCCCTGGACCGATCGGACTTTGGAGGCGCCGACATGTATTATTATTTTATTATGAGGTTAGCAAGACGGATCGAGGTTTGATTCTTGGTGAAAGACTAAGATAGTCTTCTGTTTATTAAAAGGTATTGTAGATATAATATACTGCATAGAGGTAGGAAAGTCGATTGTTCCCTTTCAAGGCTGTGATATCAGCCGACTTCCTCTGCCCCCCTTATTCATGCTGAAATGCTTGAAATATCAAAATATATCGACCAGACGCTCAATCATGCCCGAGAAAGAAAGAAAAAAGATGCCGTAACAAACCACATCGGTGGGGTAAGGGGAAAAATATAAAACAAGAAGAGAATGATGCTAAATAATTATTATATCTTCTTCATGATGGCAGTTCCAGCCAGCCTCATGCGGGTGAAGACGAAGAACATGCTGCCAACAAGCAGCATTGAACCAGAGAATACTTGCATTCTCCAGTAATCACCATGGATGACGTCAGGAACCAGTGATCCGCCCAGGGGGTTGCCCAAAAGGACCGCTATCGAGACCGTTGCAAACATGCTTCCGCTTCTCACACCAAGTTTGCGTACGTCTGAGATGTGTGCAACTAGACTGGGCGGCAGAGAGACAAGAGAGCCAGATGCGAAACCAAAGAGAACTGCAAATATTACGTCCGGAATAGTGCCACGAGAAGGTAGCCATATGGCGAAGACCACGATGACACTGAAGAAGGACATGATGATTACCACGTTGAAGAGTCCCATGCGATCTGCAGCATAGCCGGGGAGAGTCCGTCCAAGAATGCTATATTCCAGCGTTAGCGGGTGTTGCTACAGACTGTATCAGAAATAAAAGGGCTATACGTACCTTGCTGCGTTGAAAATTGACACCAGATAACTGGCCAGATTGTCCGGGACGCCAAACCTCCTTGCATGCAGAACCAGGAAGGTGAATGGCAAGAACATGCCGAAGCAATATAGAAAAGTAGCTGTGGTAAGGAGAATAAAGGGCATCTCCAGGAAAGGTGTGAAGAATTCCTTGAGGACCAGGGGCCTAGGATGAGGAGGAATCCTGGACTTGACACAGCTGCATGCCACTATACACAGCCCGAGAATCAAGAAGGCACAGACACGCATGGTCCACGGAAACCCAAGCATGGGGATGAGCTTGGTGATCATTATTGGCATGATGATACCTCCAAGACTGGAGCCACTGGCCACGATACCCACCGCCAGGGCACGCTTCTTGTAAAACCATGTGACGGTGCTGTTCATCGTTGGATAGAAGAGAAACCCGGCACCAAAGGGACTGCAGATTCCTTGTGCAAGGAGAATTTGGTAATATTCAGTCGATAGTGAGGTCATCATCAGGCCGAATACATGGAATAGCGAGCCACCTATCAAGAGATACCGTGGGCCAAAGTTGTCAAAGCCCTTGCCACATAGCGGCGCCTATATTTGTGGTAAGTCACAGACCATGATTTCACTCATTTCTTTTTGCATGAATGGATAACCTACAACAAGATACATCATAAAGAGTTCCAAAGAAGGGATCCAGGCTACCGAGCTTGGAGAATATGACTTCAGGTCGTGAGTTTGATAGTAGTCCTGGAAGATACCAACGCCTATCCGCATACTGTCAGCACTGGAGATCGAGATGGGGACTGCTTCACGGAGCAGAAATCTCACAGTTAATCCATCCAAAGCTCACAAATAGGGCACAGAAGCCTCCAAAGACAACAGTCCATGCTTCTATGCCGCCGTCTGGATAGCTGTCCGGATCTATATAGTTGTCCTTGGGAGTCGCCACTACGTCAGGGCCCATCTCAACGTCCGTATCTTCCTCTGAAGCCATGTCGGGAGCATCATTTGGGCTTGTATTTGTCGTAGAGTCTCCGTTTTTCTTTTCCCAACTGCTGTTGGTTAACCCTGCAACGGTACGAGGCAGTACGATGGTTGACACAGAGGAGTTCATGGTCTGCGATCGGGTAAACGTTCCTCCTCCAGGAGAATCCATACTTTCTTCCCACATGGATGTAGGAATGTAGGATTTCCGCCAGTAAATATAAGCTGAACAGGTCTTCGTATATCAGTCTGCGCTTCACTTCCTTGCTTTCTCCCTGCTCACATCCCTTCGAGAAGGAATCAACGAAAAAAAAAAAAAGGCAGGCAAGGTCCGATTTATTATCGATGCAACGGGGGGGTAGGAATAAAAAAGAACGACGACTCCCCGCATATGCATATAGATGGGTTGCAGCAAAGAAGCAAAATGTAAGTAGTAAAGAGAACAGAAGAAACCAAACAGAGGAAACAAAAAATAAAAGTTGCTTGAGGATTACCGCAATCCAGCGGTGTTTTCGTCCCAGAAGTGGCCGAACACCCGAAAAACACCCGCTTCAAGCACCCGGCGTAATGAACCAGGGTTCAAGCCGCGAGTCTGCGACAAGCAAGCCATCCAACAAGAGGCAACGAAGCAGGGGACGTGGAGCCGCCAAGCTGGAACCGGTTTGGGGGTTGAGTTTTGGGCTGTCTGACAGGCTCGCTCCTGGCCAAAAGGAAGGCCTGCCTTTCGAGACACGGAACATATCTGCGGGAAGGGGGCTCGGGAGCGAGCAGCGTCGTTCACGATATGCAATGAAGACGCTGACCAGGCTGTAGGCATTGAGCGGTTTGTCCATTATGGGAGGAGCAGGTCTCATGGTTACCAGATGTCGTCGCCCGTTTGTTTAGCTGGTCAGACAGAGTAAACATAGCAAGCTCGCTGCTGGGTCCTGGGAAATCCACACAGAAGAAAAGCTTAGTTAAAACACGGAGTCATAACAATCGTTTGGCTGGTTGACTAGAGCCGCAAACCGGTTCCATACTCTGACTGGAAACATGGTGTATAAAGCCCAGTTTTGCTGGCGACTAAAACACAGGCAGAGAGAGTGTGTGCTGCTAGACGTGATCCCCGTTGGCGTCCGTCCGGTATCAGTATTATAATTGCTCCTCTGGCCCTTCCCTGCGAATAGTTCGACGAGAGCAAGACGGATGATGCGTCACCAAGCCAGGGGTTCAAGCGTTAGTTCTTGCAGGAAGGCAAACCACAGGCCCATCGCTCGTATTTCACCGGCCTCGTTCGGCGGCAAGGCAAGTCACATTATTATTATTAAACTGTCAACGAGTCAAGAGGTCGAGAACGTCTTTGGCCAGGTATGCAGCGTCGTCCGTCCGCATGCAAACGCCATCCGTCCGGTGGCTGGCTGGTGAAACTGTGGCTAATCTTGGCCATGTGTTTGACCCAGGATGCCATGTGTTGGTGTTTATATGGAGATTGAACTCGCAAAGAAGAAATATAGAGAGCCGGAGGCCCTTTCGTCCTGTCCTTTCAATCTCAAGCCAACTGCAGGATCTGAAAGGCCGAGATATGTATATCTTATCTGCCCCTTGCTGCCCCTCTCAACAGCATAGTAATGAAAAACAGCATATCTCCCTGCGGAAGCCCAAGATCCTGCTGGCAAACTGCCCCTATTTTTGTTATTTTTTTCGCCCAAGAATCTAGTCGGGGATATGATGAATTAAATTCGATATATCAAGTTCCAAAATGTTTATAGTAATTCCAATTTCAATTTGGGCAACTAGGAAGTTATGAAGAGAGCCATTACACGTCACAGAAAGATGTGTCTAGGAGACCAGTGAAACTGGGAACACATTTTGTCTGTGGTGAATCCCATCCATCTGGCGATTTAGTTAACTGATTGCCAGCAAGACGGAGCTCATCAAAGACACAGGTCAAGCAGAGCCTGGGATATTGTAGAGCCTCGGATTTTACATCCACCTTCCGGGCCGGCGTTGGGCACACACCCGCTTTCAAGTACCTCAGCAATCGCATCCAACTTCTCCTCCGAGGTGGCATACTGCATCAGTAGCTGATGGGCACGGGAGCAGGAAATTTCATCTCCTGCTTGGACAGAATCCAGCCCATCATCTGAAGCGGCAGTAAGCTGTGTTATGTCGGTATGGGGCTCCGCAGCGAGACGAGTAAGTATTTTGCAAGGAGGGAGGGTCCGCGGAGGGAGACCCCTGTTGCAAGCAGATTTTCCCACCTGACGCTGCTGACAACTGCGAGATGACGATGACTCGACGCAAGAACTCGACTCGGCCTTGGAGGGGGCCTGACTGTTAGCCGGCGGAACACTCACTATAGGTGCTTCTGACGCATCAAGGGTTCGGATCTCATCGTTGGAGTCAAATTGGCCCGAGCATTGCTGCGAAGAGGTAGCAGATCGAGTATCCAAATGCGGAACTGCAGCCTTCTGCCTTCTGGGGTCAATATCTTGCTTCATCTGATCACTTGTCCGGCTTGCTACATCCATGTTGCACCTCTGTTGACGGGGAGCTTGTCTCTCAGTTTCGAGCTGTCTCTTTCTCTGGAGCCATTCCTCAACTGTCTGCCGACTAAGCCCAGCAACAAGGCAGAGCTCTCTCAGATGTCGATTCTCTTCTGCCACATGTCGAGCTGCTGCCTGAACCTCAACAGTAGC